ATTTTTAACTTTAATGATTAATGTAATTGTTATGTATTTTATTTATAAGAATAAAGCATAACTGAAAAATCAATAATAAAATTTGTGGATAATTACAAAAGTGAGTTTGGAAATATCAGAGATTTTTTTCCTCTTAGTGTTAGTGTCTACCCTTAATAATGAACTTGAGTTGTGCATCCGTTTTCAGGAGTTTGCATTGTTAGGTCTTCATACGTGTGGAAGTTTAGCAGAAACCGTGTTGAAATCATTTGTGGACTTTGATGAATCCAAAATATTAATTTTAGTGGGATGTTGTTACATGAAAAAGGAACCTGGCAGGTAATATATTTCTCAATTGCATCTTTGTAGTTTTATGTTTCACCTGTTATGCTATTTTAGTTGGAAAAGCATTATTTGTAAGTTTTTGTTATTTAAATTTAATTTAGAAATGCTAATACTGTGTATTATTTTAGATATGCTTGTTTGTGTAAGTTTGTTTTAAGTCTTTCTTGTTTTAAATATTCTGATTTAGACCTATCTTTTCTGACAATGATGATAACTTCAAAATTCATTTTCAAATTCATTCTGCCAATGATGATAACTTCATAATTCTTGAACTACCCTAGCTACCCTACCTAACTTTTTCAATATGTTAAATGTACTCCAATGAAACCCACTGATTGCTAATGAAAATTTTAATTGTAAACCAAAAATATACATTTACTCTCTATATATATATTCTTTAAAAAAATTAACTGCTATTAAAAAAAATTTAACTCAAGTTTAAACTACTATTCTCATGGACATGCTGAAATAAACATTTTCATTGTATTGTTATTGCTGACCCCAGATAAAGAAAACTAAATTACGCAAGTGAAAGATTTTATTCAATTATCATCAATGGCTTTTGAGAAGAGAAGAACTTTTTCTCTGATCAAATTGAAGCTAAGGAAAAGGTTTACCTTACTTCTCATTCCAGGGATCAACATCATTCTAGATGACAAACTGTATAAAAATATCCAAAACTTGAATGACTAAAAATTAAAAACTATGTAAATTGACAAAGACGCAAATCTAGAACTACACATTGAAGAAACAAGAATTGGCAACTGGCCGATCTGTGTGCACCATAGTGGCAGACATCACTATGATGCCACACATCATACTGAGAAGGAAAAAAAAGAGAATATTAATAAGCATAATTTGTAATAAAGTTTCAAATGTTCATTTGTTTTCAACAGTCTCATTTTAACCCATTTGGCATCAAAGCTCCCATTATGGGAATAAGTACTATTTTTTTTTTAAAGTTTATTTTAAATATTATTAAATTATAACTATATGATAATTTTATAATAATTTTATACTAATTTTTATAGGAATTAAAAATAAGCAAATGATAATGATTATTAGACAAATTTGGGACTTTTTTCTGATCTTTATATTTGAAAGTATTTCTTAAAAATAATTTTCACTGTTATAGCTTAAAATTTTGTAAATTTTAGTAAATTTTGGTGACTCTCAATATCCTACTGAAATCAATTAAAATAATTTGTTGTAAGTAGTTGATTATGACATTTCTATGGAATGTTGGGAGCTTTATTGTGATGTATTGTTAAATACTCATTCTTTTCAGTTCTTAACATAGAAATTGAATAAAATAAAATTCTACATCTCACTTTGTCTATTTAAAGTTCTAGAATGTAATGTAGGCAGACTTCTTGCTGATATTTAGGAAATCTGTTAAATGTTGTTGTTCACAATTTTTTCTCTTTTTGTAAAGCTTGACCTCCCATGAAATGTTTTCTCAGTCACACAGCATTTCAGATGCTGTGTGACTGAGGTCACACAGAAATTTATTTAGCCTTTTTTAGTATCCTGCACTGCAAAAGGCTAAATAAATTTTTTAGAACTATACACTATTTTATAGAAACTGGTTCAAAACAATTTAGATGCAAATTTTTTGTAAATAAAAAAAATACTCTTTTGTGGTGTATTGCATTCACCTAAATAATGTTTATTAGTGATTCACACAAAATAAGAATTTGAAGAAAATTATAGGTATCAAATTAAATTTGCTTATTTGTTAATTTATTTCTAAATTAGATATTTTTCTAATTTATGTTTGGCAAGAAAATGCTCTAAGTGTCTAACGTCGGTAAAAAAATTTTTTTTATGAGGTTTTTCACTCCTTAGTTGTAGAGTCAAAGAAGTTAGGGAAGAAATTCTACTGTTCATTCCCAAAGCTCTCATTTAAAATTCCATAAATTTAAAATGTCATTTTAAATTATGTTTATATTTAAATAGACATTTAAAATGATGTTAAAATTTGTATATCTTACAATACCAAAGTTTTTGATAATTGTTAATTAAAATGACAAATCAAATAACTGTAAAAAAAAATTTTTTTTTCACGTGGAAATATTACTGCATAAAGGAATTTTTAATTGTGCACAAATTCCCCCCCCCCCCTCCGTTTCACTTGAAAAGATTGCTTTAGCTCCCATATTTTAAAAGTTAGAAGCCCAAAATTATATAAAGGGGGTGGGGGCATGTTAATTTATTTTATATTTTGCTAACTGTTTTTGCCAGTACAGAAATGTCTTAGCAGTTGGAGTTTACTTTGAAGCATATTGAATGGGTATATGTAATTCACATAATATTTTCAGGATTAGAGGAGTTCTGGAATTTAGTAATTTCATGTCGTATTTCAATAGATGAAACTGATGAACCCAAGATCACCATATTTAAAAATATTCTCAACAAATTCCAGTTTCTGTTAATGCATCTTTAATTTATATACTGTCATTTCACTTTATTGGTTGGTGTCGTATCCTCTATAGAATCATATTTCATGGTGTGCTTGAATAGTTTTTGTTATTTCTATGGCATTAAAAGAATACAAATCCTCTTCTGTGGGGTATTTCACTTTATTTAGATAGCTAATATATATGTTTCCACCAAAGATAAAAACCTGTTCATAGGAACATTATCTGCAGATTAAAATATGGTAGTTTGTTAGAATGCTGTATCAATCGTTTTCTGCAATTTACTTGGGTAAGGTGTGCATTAATTGTTTCCATATCATTAAAGTTCAAAAGTTTGTTTCTTGCATTTTATTGTATTCATTGAATTAATTCTTTAGATATTGCAGAATAAATTCCTTAATAGTAATAATATTTTAAATTGCCTGATTTTTTGTAATATATTTTTTAAAGGATTCTATCAACTAATGTTGTCACTTGATTTTGTAGTTACTGAAAAATCACATGTTAATTTAAGTGTACAGAAACATTATTGTTGTTCCACTTTAACGTGTGCTTAGTTGGTAATGTGAAGGTTATCAAGGTAGTTTGCAGATGACCTAGGTAATGTGAAATAGTTTTTTTTTTGGCCCTTTAACGGATCACCCTATTTAATCTGCACATCAGCTGGTGTTAGAATAACTACGTTATAGCATTTACGTAAATCTATGTAAAAAAAATAAATTTTTGGTGCAGAAAAGTAATGGATGTAACTTCAAAATTTACAATTATTTTTAATTCAGTTACTAAACTTATCTCTTTTAATGAACATGTTTTTTTTATAAAACATATGATAAACATTATCACTGTTGTTCGCTACTTATCTTTTATAATTTCTAGTTGCCTCTTTGCTCTTTAGTTCAAGTTTAATTTTAGCCAGGATATTTTGTACGATTTTTTTAATTTCTGTTTAAAGTCAAACAATATTCTATAGTAATTATTTTAACTTTTTGTTAACATAATTTAAACTGATTAAACTGTAAAGTTGAATATACAGTATTCAAAATACTTTTGAAATTGTATAATTGTGCAACAACTTTCGATTATGTATTATTATACAACAAGTATTTTGTTCAAATTTTTACTTTACACGTATCACAGTCCCCTTTTTTTGATTTTAAGATAAGTAATTATGCTTTTAGATTCTACATTTTGGTTATTATTTGATAGTTATTACTGGGCGTGTGGTGTTTTTAAAAAGCGCTTAAAGATGCTTATTTTCGACTTTTTATTTCTTAAAAGCCCTTAAAGGTGCTTTTTTTATTGGGTGTTTTTAAAAAGTGCTTAATTTTCCCTGTTCAAAATTGAGATTTTTTCCTCTTTCCCATGTCAATTTTCGCCACATGCAAAAGCCTGGGTTTTTCATTATTCTATTCAACGTTTTCACAAATCATTCAAACATAATAAATTTCATCATACGGATGTTCCGTAACGTAAAAAAGTGTCAATAATTTTACATGTTTCATGAAATGTTTGCGGGTCCACATGTGCATATACTGATCTGGATTCAGTAAGAATTATTTGTGCACTATCATGTGCAACTCGGCTGCATTTTGCAAGAGATTCTCAATTTCAGGTTTCATTTTCCTTCCTCTGAAATCGAACCAAAAAATCTATCTTGTTATGATGGCTAATGTAATCATGAAAGCGAGTTCTTTGTCAGAACTAGTTATTTTATCATGATCATGTAAAGTCTTTGGAAATTATTTTGCATTTTGCTAATGTATATAGTGCTTAAAAATATTTTTTAACTGCTTAAAAGGTACTTAAAAGGTGCTTATTTTTTGTTGAAAGATTAGGAAGAAAAGGAAATTAGTTATATAAACTTGAGAAAAGAAACTAATTGCTTTTTTTATTATTTTTAATTACAATTTTTATGAGTACTTCCAGTTTTAAAACTGTGTTCAAAAATTACAACTACAAAGGGTTCAACTGCAAGGAAATGTAAATTTTTTTTAAAAATCATCATAAATTAAAATTATATAACAAGTGTTGTGTTAATTTTTTTACGTAACCTTGAAGTTAGTTACTTAAATAATACTTAACTAGTATCTTTTCCCAAAAAATATATTGTTAAGGCTTAAATAAAATATGTTCTTATTATAAATTACTTAGCGGTTATTTAGTATTTAAGAAGTGTGAAAAATACTAATAAATATTAAGAAAAAACTAAATACTTAAAATTTTAAAACTGAAATTTAAAAAAAAATGTTTTTGTACAAAGTAATGTCGAGTATTCCTGTGGTTAATAAATGTTTTTTTTTCCATCTAAGCAACTTGGCATTTTTCTGATACATGTGCAAACATGGTTGTGTGAAATTTGTAATTGTAATATAATTTTTTAATGGTTTCAGTGAAACAGAAAATTATCCATTGAGTTCATTTGTTAAATCATTGCCAAACCATGAATTGAGCTATGAAGCTAAAGAATTGGCTTGCCACGCAATCGAAATGTATATTAAGAGATTGCAAGGTATGTAAATTTTTTTTTTCCTTGAATAAAAAATTCAGGCACTCTTTTTAATTAATCAATATAGTTGCAACTGAAAGAAACCCTTTTAATATTTTTTTCTTGCTTTTTTCTAACTTTGAACAAAGTTTGACAAAGCAAAAAAAAAAAAAAAACATAATTTGATATCAAGTAAATTTAAGTTTTGGTTCTCAGTATCACTTTTTTAAAAGTAAAGCTAATTGAATTATAAAAATTGCACAGGTGTGTCATTCAAAATTTTGGAATTTTTTTCCAGGTATTTTCAGGTTACATATTAAAAGGAAAAGTAGAAAGAAATATTTATGGAAAAAAAAAAGGTTAACATGCCAAATGTATAGATAGCGCCAGAAATATTCAATGTGCATTATAATTTTTTGAATCTAAAAATATATCTTGAGTAGTCTAAATTTTAAAAATTTGGCTGTGTGTGACTTGTACCATAACTGAAATTGTAACTTTTTAGGAGGGCCACTCTTCTTATCACAGGATAAATTTTTGTCTTTATATATAGTGAAATATCGGCTAAACATTCACTCTTGGGACCGAAAAAATTGCCCACTTACGAGAGTTGTCTGTTTATGGGAAGGGTACACTAATAAAAAAATTAACGCCATGATTTTTTTAAAAGAATAATTGTAATGATATAGAATTAATTCAATAATCAACAATAACTATATTCAGTGATATTTGTTTAAACTGATTAAAATTTGAAAAATATTTTATTTTTCAAATGCAAACAGAATAGATCAGAAAGTTTGATATATGTATGTAATTCTAGATGTAGCAACTGAGAAATGAGTGTGTTTTTCCTATTTACACAGACATTTAAGTTAGTTAGGTGCTTTTAATATTATGGCGCTTCCTGGGGCGGTTTAATTATTAGGTTTACACCCCCTAACACCTCCCCATCACTTGATAGGAAACTTCTAATACCTGTTTGAAAGTAAACCTCCCACGATGCACAGAAAAAAAGAACGCAGCAATGCATGCATGTAAGGCAAGAGGGCAGTTGTTATCTTTACAATTGATCATCTGTTAAATGTCTGCATAACTGTTTCATTTATATGAACACTTCAATGACTAAATTTCCGTTTTCTTTTTTAAACTCAGCTGTGTTAAATACAGTTTCCAAATTGATTAAAAATATCAGAAATTTTTCAGTGGGGAAGACAAATTGAGAGCAGTTAAGGTGTCAAACCAGTTTGTGGCATCACATAACCAGTATCAGAAAAAAATCAAAAGAAATATATTTCACATAAACTGTATTATTTTCTCTCTTTTTGTTTCTAAGATAAAGGAAGGTGACAGGAGAATAATTGATTCTTTGTTGAATAGCTTAACAATAATTTTAGTTGTGGATATGGCAAAAAATTTACATGCTTTAAAAATGGGAGAGCATTGCATATCTTTTTTTCTTAGAATTTAAAGCAGAAATTGCTTTTTTCCCCTTTCAAATTTAGAAAATTGTGACCAGTTTAAAGAGATAGAAATGCATAGAAAGTACATTATTGTTTATTCATAGAAGATTCACGGAGAATTAAAAATATATCAGTTAAGGAGGGGGTATCTGTTGGCGTTTTGTAAGAGTGTTCGTAACATGATGTTTCACTGTGTATATGTCTATATATATATATAATCAAAATTTTTAATTTTACACATTTGTAAGATTCATATTATAATTTCTAGCTTTCATTTAATTTTATGGGGAAAAAACAACCTTATGAAATAAATTTAGTCAATTATAAAATTTTATACTGATGAATTGAGGTATCATTAACTTGTTTACTATTTTTTAGAAGAATGCAGTAATGAAGTAAATCCTCGTTTTAAAAAATTCAATAAATGTCTTTGTACTGTTAATTTGAAACGACTTAGAATCAATTTATAGTTCAATAATTGTAGAATTTTTCAAATACTAGTTGTCAGTGGCGTACGCAGAATTTTTTCAAGGGGGGTGCTCATGATTTTCTGAAACTACTAAAAGAAATTCGAGTATGTAATAAAGCACTATTATTTCCCTAATTTAGACATCTAGACAGTTTATAAATTTTTTTNACGTTTTCTTCAACAGAAGTGTCACATTTCTGTTCTACAGAAAAACTTACATTGGTACTAGATGCTGTCACCTCACTAATTTCAGGTCGTGATTTTTTCTCAAAATATGTCAAAATTGTTAAATTCTTGCGTTTTGACATCCTAAAGATCCAAGAACAGCAAATATATATATTGGCACAGAAATATCCGCTATGCTACGATCTTAAAGTTTCGAGCTGGAATGAATAAGTTCAATGAGCTCAGTATCTCCAATAGTATTGTTACTGATTTCTTCACTAGTCGAAATAACGACGACGACGGGTTCGGCGATTGAAAGAACTTTTTGTTAATTCTTCTAATTCTTTTTGTTTGTTAATAATTTCTACTAAAATTTTCAATTTGCCATTTTGTCTGAGCTCAAGGGGGGAGTTTAAACCCCTAAACCACTCCCTTGCGTACGCCACTGGTGGTTGTTCACAAATGCATTTATTTTTAAACATGATATATGACTGTATTTAAAAATATTGAAAATTTTTTTAATTGAAAACATTAAGTTTTGATTTAGAAATATTTAACCCAATTTCAAATTTTAAAGACATATTAAGTCTTCTGATTGGTATTAAAATCTTACTTCACAATTTGTTTTGATCTTCTTTAGATAATGCCTCATCGTTAAAGATACACTGCTATCGAGCTGCTCTCGAAAAATGTATCGTAAGTCATTACCCGAGCTTAAAGCATCTGGGTTTAAGGGGAGTGAAGCATGCTGAATGTCTTGCATTTCATGAGTGAGTTAATAATTTTTTTTTCTCCAAATAATTTTTGTGTTAGTTCTCACCGAATTTAAGTTTTTATGCCTTATATTTATTATTGTATTTAAAATATTCATTTTTTAAATTTTTTTTTGTGGAGAAGTAGTACATGCATGCTAAAAAAGTTATTTAGAAGTATCAATACCTAATTCTGTTTTATTTAACAAACACGAACTGTCTTCATTTTTCCAAGAAAAGTAGCATATTAAATTGTTTGCTGCTTACATTAGTAAAAGAAGTATAATTCTACTTATACATTTTGTACTGGAAATCATTTGTGTACTAAATGAAAGAAGCAAACACCTTAATAACAGAGCTCCCAAATGGGTTCTCTTTTACCTTCAAATTCCGATTTTTAGAGTGAAGTCTGTTTTTAGTCCTCTTTTGGATACTAAGGCAATCTGTTTAACAAAATGTTTTGATTGCGTTAAAATTGCAATAGCTGCTAACTTTGTGTGTCTTACCTCAATTTTCTTGTTGTTCGAAAGTCAATTAGTGGACTCTTCTCTTGATAAATGAGTACCACACTACCTGAACTTTAGGATCGTTTACTAATTATATTTTTCCATGTCGATTCCTGAAAGTCGATTATGACGATACTTCAAGATATTTGTGTCCCTTTCATTAATTTTAAATAATAGATAAGATTCTTCTTTTTTGTTGTCTGTTTTCCATCAAAAGATTTCTTTAACATTATGTATTGGGGGCCAAAGTCTACAAAAATGATCTTATCTATTCTAATAGACTTGTTTCTGAATTTTGAAGACTCTTAAATCATGTTATGTATAAAAAAAAGAAAATTGATTAATTAAATTTTCCTACCATGAAATTTACCTGTGTGAATTGAAGGTCATATACTTTTTCACTCTTTTTAGAAATTTCTAGCTATACATCATTTTTGTAAGATAAAAATTACTACTTACCTATTATTATAAAATTATACTATTGAATTCAGTAAAAGGAGACAATAAAGCTGAGACAATTTTTTTAAAGATGTAGATTATGTGTAGCATAATACAATATACTGTTTTGCTTGTGGAATGTCAATCAGTTACAGATGGAATTGACCAGATATCATTTCAAAAAAGGTAATTGTAACTGTTATTATTTGTAGGTATGCGGAGCAAGCACTGTGTAAAGTGGATGTGAAAATACCAAAAGAAACTCTGCTTTCCCAAGAAACGGTTTCCTTGCTCTCTCGATGGAAGGAGGTCCTCACATTCTACTCCTTAAGGCTAATCATTGCACCAGTTATTGAAACTCTCATCTTAATGGACAGGTTGCTGTATTTATATGAAAAAGGCAAGTCTCTCATTATTTTTTTTGAAAAAGCCCTTTTCTCAATCATCAAAGGGTCATCTTTTAAATATATTTTATTCTTCTTAACTTCCTTTTCCAAATAAACTGATGTTGGTTATTTACTCTATTCTGCAGTATCTTTTGCTACCTGCAAAATACGGAGCCGTCAACCGATCAGAATTTCAAAAATGTAGTATTTCAGATGATCCTAACTTTTTTTTCTGACAGAATTATACTAATATAATACTGGCATCAACATGATTTGTGTTAATAAAACATGGTCAGCATCATCAAAAACAATTTTTGACTGTTTTCAATTCAAATTTTAAAATTTTTAATGTTGAAAAGAAAAAAATTCATATGGGATAGGATAAGAACCATTTTTTCCTCAAAATCTCTTCTTTACTAGCCTTTTCTTCTTTACTTTACTTTGTTTGCGCACGGACCGTTTTCCCCAGCTGAAAACTGAGTTATCTTAAAAATGCAACAGACCCAGTCGTCTTTTTAGTCAAAAATGGATATAAATCAATCTTTCCCCTTCATGTGTTATTTACAAGGAAAATGGTATATGTATAATGTTTTTTGTAAGAGAGAATGTGCAAAATTTCAGAACTTTTTTTGAATCATAAGTTTTTCTAAACTTATAACCTTTGATATTTTATATTATTTTTGTCAGTGTATAAACTAACTACAGTTCTAAAAATTATCCTTGTAATGATATTTATTGAAAAAAAATCTGAATGACATTAAGTGTAGCATTCAATCTTGATATCGAATATTGATTACTTAATTCGAATATTTCATTGGTTTTTATGCTACTTAAATGGTTTCTAAGTTATTCCTGAAAAATACATTTTACAATAAAACTTGTCAAGTTCAAAGAATCACATCCCATAGGAAAGATAGTTATTAAAATATATTCCACTTAATGATTTATTTAAAAAAAATTAATATGTTTAAATCAATGATTTCCTTAAAAAAATCATAATTGATTTAAATCAAGTGATTTAAATTGCGATTTTAATCATGAAATCTATCTAACCCTGGCTATGATATCTAAACATATAAAATTATATATTTATTTAAAGATTCCAATTAGTATTTAAAACAGCTGAAAATCTTTGGAAAAATGTTTTTTTTTTTAATTTGGTTAATTTAAATTAAAACTAATATAAAAAAAGGAAATATTTAACTTTTAATGAGAACATTATAAAAAAAACCCTATTTTTTTCTACTTAAAAAAACCATATGTGTTTTTTATTTTTATAAATTTTTTTAAATGATATCCAAAATTTTATCGAACTGGATGCCATTTTATTGTCTTATAATCCATTTTAATAAAAATTATTTTTTCCAGGTTGTCCTTGTTGTGTTGCCCCAGTATTTGACCCAACACTCTCACCTCGAAATTTTGTATTACTTTCTGTGAAAGTCAATAAAGATGGGTCTAATTAATTATCATTGTGTCTTTATACTATTAATTAAGTTTATACAAAGCTCGCTTTCTATACGGGGTGAAAAGAAAGTTGATAATCAATTAATCAGTATTGATCCGCGAAACATAGACCAACACTATTAATTAAGCTAATAAAATTTAAGGAGCGGTAGCGCTTCGCGCTGTCGTGCCACAGGTCCCTGGTTCGATCCTCGGGGCCGGGCAAGGTTCACTCAGCCTTTCATCCCTTCAGTGGGTCAATAAATGAGTACCAAGCATGCTTGGGAACTAAACACTCGGGATTCCGTGTTCGGCTGACCACCTGACCGGAACATCTGCTCCTGCACCCCAGAGCCCAAGGTCAAGAAAACTGAGATGGGCACAGTAGGCCTTGGCCCTCTATGGGCTGTCGCGCCACTGAGTTTAGTTTAATACAATTTAAGATTTTTTTGCTGTCCTTCCCTGTTCTATGTTATCCCTGACTCTATGTTATCAAATTAAGCAAAACATGTTTTTTTTAAGAAACCAAAATAAAAGTTAATTATGCTCAGTATTATTTGGCTACTGCTAGAGCACAACTCCGGATAATCAAAAATGTTCTCCGGTAATTATCTCTTTCGAAAATCACATACTGGGTATCTTGATACCATATTAGTATACATATTTAGTACCTCTGAAAATACCACTTTCGTAATACTACAACTACAAAAATCAGCATCCTTCAAAAAATAATATGGTAGCAAAATATAAAATTCTTTTCTTTTTTTTTTAATTCGCTGGTAAGGCATAATTTTTAAATTTTTATGTTTTATTATAACAAGTCATTTTACCACAAATTTCTATTTTAAGTATACACAACTTTAAAAAAATACACATATTGTTGTACTTATTAAAAAACTATTTGTGGTTAAATCCAGAAAAAAAAATTTAATTAAGAGAAAATAAATAGTAACAATTAATTTTTTTATAATACTAGATAATTTATTTTTCCTTACGGTCAAGTAAAATGTGATAAAACAAAACGCACTGACGAATTCTGCTATGCCCGAGTTTTGACGGGATAATAAATATTTGCAATGTATACATAATCGAGTTAACTAAAAAAGTAACACACATTAAGATTCAAAGAGATATCAAAAGTGTTCGTACACTTCCAATGATTCCATCCATTAATTTAAATGAATATTTCAGAATGGATAGGATATTTATTCTTTTTGTAGTAAAAGTGCATGGAATATTTTAAAAACGAGGCAAAAGTTTATTTTTAAGAAATCAATTGTCAAAAAGTAACAAAAACGTCATCTCGCAAAAGTCATTGTCTTTGATCTCTATGCAGACTATGGGACTGTGCAATTTAGGAAAGGCAAAGATTATGGTGGATGTGGAAGACGGGGTTAGGATTCGGTTTTTAAATTCTGTCCGTGTTCACACAGAATGATTCAAGTTTGTTCGCAATTGGGAGCGGTAATTTTTTTCTATTTTAACANATTTTTAACTTTATTAAATTCTCTAAAAATTAGTTGGTTATAATTTAATAATAATGGATTTTATATTGCACTCCTTTTCTGAAAGCTTTTGAACTCCCATTCAAAGAAATCTGTAAATTATTTTTTCTCAGCAAACCAACCAATCACGCATTTCCCCCCACCACTAACAGCAATGTTTGTTGACAAATTGTTACAATTCTTGCATTAATGTTAATTTTTTCTATTTCATTTTATCCTTTTATAGTATATTTTTATTTTGAAAAAAGTTTTTTTTAAGAACTAACTATATATCAAATTTTACGGCTTTGATGGTAAATATTAGTTTTTTGATTCAAAATTCAAATTGTATAGTTATCACAGTATCGAAAGTTCATAAATGTTGCTTGCATTCCAGAGATGATATTTAAAAACTATTCCTCTTTTTACTTAAAAAAGCTGACAATGACTAAGGAATATATAGGAAACATATTAAATGATGTATATATATAAAATATAATTTTTTTTTATTCATATGTGTATAGTCAGGAGAAGGAAAACGAAACTTAGTGTTTTTGTTCTGCACTGTACAAGATTCCAGTTGTTCAAACAAAAACAATTAACTATTCTAAACTAAAAAACTGTGTGTTTATATTGGAATTCTTTAAATGTTTTAATTTCAAATAAGAAAAAAAGTAAAAAAAGTATAAATTTTAAGGAATTTTATCTATTTTTTTTCTTCTATAGAGTATAGAACTAAAAATTAGACAATTTTACATTTCTGACATTTATTTATTTTTTTATACTGAATTTTTTAAAATAAAATTGCTATTTCAAAATACCATTATTTTAAAATTTGACTTGAGATATTGGTTTAAGGAAAATATGATCAGTGAATTTTATAAAAAGCACTGCTAAGATGAAATACAGTATAATGCAGTATACAGTACAGCTTTATATTGAAATGTAATTACAGTGATTCACAAAAGTGTTGATACACTTATGACTTTCAATGAAATAAGACTATCCATTAATTAAAATGAATGTTTCAGAATGTATATTTAATGATAAAAAATGTGTTCAAATCTTAACAAAACTGAAATATTTTAAATGACAATATGAAATATTTTAAAAACAAAGGAAAAGTTTATTTTTAAGGAATCAATCATCAAAAAGTGACAAAAACTTTATCCCACAAAAGTCATCATACACTTTTGAAGAAAAAACTCAGTCTATTAGTAAATATAATTTTTCGTTAAATTAACATTTAGTGGAGTTTCCTTTAGCATCTGCAATAGCTTTTAAGAGTTGAAAATATGTGTAACTAGTTTTTTTTTTTTGTCAGGTGAAATTAGTGCAGAATATTTTCTTAAAATTTTTACAGAAACTTTTACAACACTCAATTGCAAATTTATGAATTTTTCCACAAAACTTATAATTTTAATCTCTGATATGAAGTCCTTCTTTTAAGCATTTTATCGCATATTGACAGTTCAATTGAATACAGTAAACTAATTTAACATATTCATTACTGATTTACCTCGTATGAAGACAAATAATCAAATTTGGTCTATTTTATTACGACCACAAGTCATTTTTAAATGATAAAATAAAATACTACGGAGTTAGCAAGCAAAAATTAAAATATAATTTTGCTATTATAGGTTTGATACTAAATTGCTAATAAAGAAATAAAAAATTAAATGAAAAATAATTAAATAAAGAAAGCAATTGACGATAATTTTAATTCTGAGATCCAAAACATTTAAATGTACGATGACTTTCGTGGGGTAACATTTTTGTTACTATTTGATTAAAAAATTAACTTTTGCTTTGTTTTTAAAATATTTCGTGCAGTTTTGCTATGAATAGATTACACATCTTATTATCAAATACCCATTGTGAAACATTCATTTTAATTATTGAGTTTTTATTTCCTATTTTAATGTAAGTTATTAGTAAGTGAGCACTTTTGGGAGCCACTGTAATTAATAAAAATTATTGAGATATAATCACCTGAAACGGTTTTCTTTTCCTTAATGAAAATATATTAAACAATACTTATCCAAGGTTTTATTGGTTATTCACATTATAAAGTAACACATTAAATTCAATAAAAACAATTAAAATTATTCAATAAAAACAATATATTCTGCAAGCTAAACATATTATTTTCTCCACGTCTTAATTTTTTGAAAATTAATGTTGTACCAGAACATTAAGAAATAATAAAAAAATATCTTGTAAAAAAATAATTTTTTTTCAAGATATGTTTAAAAAAATGACATTTTGAATAAGATATTTTATAATGCAGACACTTTTCTTGTACACATCCTACACTTTATAAGAAAAAAGGAAAAAAAAAAAAAAAACACAAACCTGGAGATTTTAAGATTTTTACCTGGAAAACCTGAAAAAATCAGGGAAATTTGAAATCTGTTTTGAGTGGCCACCCTGCAAAACTCAATGCGTTAAATTTGCTTTCATCAGCCAATAAGACATTATTGACACGTTGGAGGTTTATTTATCATTGATTTTGCGAAGTGAAGTTTCTGTTCTTTGTAAAAACAAAACACTTTCTGCTGACAGTACGCCAACTTAATCTAACTGCTCTGAGAACTAGTTGAAAAGTGTCTGGTGAAATTTGAGTAGAATATTTTTTATTAAATCTTGCAGAAACTGCTGCATGAAACTCTTAAACGTGAATTGATGAATTTTTCCACAATTTTCATAATTTTAATCTCTCACGCCGATCTGAATTCCCTCTTTTAAGCGTTTTATCACATACTGCTCAGTAGAATGGGACAAAATGCAGCAATATTCCTTATTGATTTACCACTAAGGATGACAAATAATCAATTTTCAAAAGTTATCTGCTGCTTTATTCTTAATACGACCCATTTTTAAATGATAAAAGAAAATATTACGCATTTTTTTTTTTAACAAACAAATATAACTTTA